AATCAGACTTGCGGTTTTTAACAAGAAGTTGAAAATATCACTTTTTATCAAAAATTACAAAAATATTCACCAAAAATAGAGAATTTGAGATTTTGACATGAAATGGACAAATCTGAGAAAGAACCATCCAAGGTACTTGCATATCAAATTTGAAAACATTCTCACTTGCAGTTTCGAAATAGAAGTTGAAATTGTAAAGTTGACGACGTCGACAGACAATCAGTAATATGAGCAGCTCCGATGTGTTAAGACAGCGAAGCTAACAAAGTTCATTCACACAAAATGTGAACAAGTGTTAGGTAATTTTTATTTGTTTCAAGCCATTGCAAATCAAAGAATTTAAGAAAGATCTATTGTGTGCTGGGAGTATTGGAGACACATTAAAAATCTATTAAAAATTACTTGTACCTAAGATATTGATGGAAAAGCAGGAAGCTAATTTTGCAAATCAGGCAATTAAAATGAACAGATTTGAGTGTGAAACTAATAAGGTCTGCAAAATCTAACAGACCATATATGTACCAAGTTTCATTGAAATGTGATTAGAAACAACAAAATTATGAATTATTATGCTAATTAGAGAATTAATATGAACAGATTTTAACCCAAAATTAATCAGGCCTGTCTATTGTCCTAGAGCATTTATGTACCAAGTTTTATTGAAATGTGATGATTAGTACTTTTAATCAGTGAAAAAGCTGAAAATTACCTAATTATGCAAATTAGGTACTTAATATGCACAAATATTTATCCCGAAACACTCGATCTCTGCATACTCCTAGAGTATCTGAGTACCAAGTTTCATTGAAATTACTAATTTCAAGTATTACTATTTGAAATATCAAAAGCTGAAAATTCATTAATTATGCAAATTAGGTAATTAATATGTACAGAAAACTGTTACTCTCCAAAGAATACAATTTTTACCTCATTATGCAGTGCGCACACCCCCACTCCTTTTCTGTATCCATTCAGTGATGTCAATGCATATCATGAATAAATAATAGCAACAGATTAGCTGCAGATAAGACCAGTCTGTGGTGGTTTCGCGTTCACCCCACCTTTCGCAAAACTATTTTTTCCAATTTTTTTTTATAAAAATCACCACAGCTGGGCTAGTCTAATATAACATCTATGTACCAAGTTTCATTGAAATGTGATGACTAGTACTTGAGATATCTGTGGAAAAGCTGAAAGTTTACTAATTATTATGTAAATTAGGTATGCACATTAGTTCAGAGCATCTATGTACAGTACAAAATTAACTAATTATGCAAATTAGGTAAATAATATGAACAATTATTTACCCCAAAACTAATCAGGTCTCTGCATATCCTAGAGGATCTATGTACCAAGTTTCATTGAAATGTGATATTAGCAGTTGAGATATTCGTGGAAAAAGCTGATGATTAATATTCACAAATATTTACCCCAAAACAATCAATCTCTGCATAGTCCTTGAGTATCTATGTACCAAGTTTCATTGAAATGTGATGATTACAACTTGAAATATCAAAAGCTGAAAATTAATTAATTATGCATATTAGGAAATGAATATGTACTGATATTACCCTAAAAACTAACAGGTCTGTGCAGTGTCGTATGACATCTATGTACAAAGTTTTATTGAAATGTGAAGATTAGTACTTGAGATATTAGTGGTAAAGCCAAAATTGACTAACCATTAGGCAAATAAGGTAATTATTATGCACAGATTTTTACCCAAAACTAATCTGTGAATAGTCATAGAGTATCTATGTACCTAGTTTCATTATAATGTGATAATTAGTACTTGAGATATCAGCAGAAAAGTAAAAAATTAACAAATCAATATGCAAATTAGATAATTAATACGCGAGTGATTTCTACCCAAAACTAATCTGCTTTGTCCAAGAGCATCTATGTATCAAGTTTCATCAAAATCCAATGAGTGGTTCTTTGGATATCAGTGGAAAAGTTATAGAACAGCTAAAATTCAGCTAATTATCATGCAAATTAAGTAAATAATAAGCACGGATTTTAACAAAAACCTGATCAAATTAGCGTATTAGCCCAGAGCATCTGTGCATCAAGTTTCATCAAAAACAAAAATATGGTTCTTGAGATATTAGTTGAACAGACGGACACACACACATATATG